GCTCCTAATAAATCTGGTTCTTCCAGTTTGCCATCTGCACCAAAAAGCAGGGCTTGTTTTTATCACATTCAGGAAAGAAGAATGTAATAAATGCATATAAATATGTATATATGCACATATACATCTATGTGCTCTGGGTGCATTAAAATGTTTCTCAGCCAGAACAAAATTTTCACTTCATTTTCACATCTTTAGCGATTTTAAAAACATTTTAATACACAATATCTGGCTGAAGAAATGCTTTTATTTTTCAAGCATCTTTCCAGGCAGCATTAGGCGTGTTTTTTTTTTTTTTAATGAAAGTAATTCACCAAAACTGACACAAAAATAAAAATGTTGTTGGACCATACAAATATTAAATTAATCTCCAGCAAAATACTGGAGATAAAACTGCTGGCATCATCCCCATTGTGTAGATCTGATATCCCTGTACCCATCCCACAGCAGCTTCTGGGGCACAGTTTGCATTTGCTACATTGATATTGCTAAGCAATAAAAAAGGGGGTGCAGGTGCTGCTGGGAGACATGGCGCTGCATTTCTGGGTGATGCTACCCCCAAAAAACCACTGCCACTCCTTTAATTACTTTCTTAGCACAGCTGGTCTGAGCTTCAGTGCACACAGGTTTCATTCTGCATTCCCATACCACTCGCTTGCACAAACACAGCCCATCAGCAAAATGTAAAAATAGCCAAAAATATATAATTAGGGTGAATGTGCTGTGGATTTAATAGGGTTTTTCTATTTCTTCCTTCACTGGCCCACAAGACACAAGCCCTGGATGAAGAGAGGCCATTCAGGAGAGAAAGAGCACTCTTTGCTGTGGTATATATTTGGCAAAAGCCCTCAAATATTTTTCTCAGTTTTATATGGTGTGGCTTTTTATTGAGCACCACACAGAAATTGCAGCAGATTGATTGTTTCACAGCTCCCCAAAGCTGAAATGCTTTGGAGCTGAGAGCTCTGTGCCTGCCAAACTTCATAATTAACTTTAATAACTCTTTAATTTTAACTTTAATTCAAAAACCCATGTTTCTGGGGGACTGTGGGGCAGGGGGGGAAGAGCAAAGCAAAGCAAACCAAGGGAAGCCAGCTCTGGTGAAATAACATAGCAGCCCCAAGCTTGTGCTGTGCCAGAGGCAACTGAAGATCAACTGGCCCATCCTGGCTGTGAGCAGATGGAGAGGCATTGCCCCAGCCTGCTGGAAAGCGAAGACATCACCACTGGATGTCGGGAAAGCGCCAGGCTCAAAGCTGCCTTTGCTGCCCCAGCTGGAAGGTTTTCCAAGGCCACCTCTGGGGTCAGCGGGACCAAAGGCACTGGGAACACAGGTTATTTTGTCTGAACTTGGTGGCAATGAAGGAGAAAGAACAAAAAAAAAAACCACTAAAAAGCACCCCAGATAAATTTGCCCTAAGGCAACTAATTTTATGCATGAAACTACTACAGAAATTTGCTTCTTTTTCCTCGTACTGGGAGAAGGAAAAACATCTAGTCCTGGATCTGTTCACTCAGTCAGTGGTTTCTAATGGGTCTCTTGCTGACTGTGGGCAGTGTTAGCTGGGCTGGGAAGCACTAAGAGGGCAGGAGGAGGAGGAGCCCCAAGCAGGAACATTAATGTAACTTCTGTGTCCTGATCTATAAGCCTCCTGCTGTCAGACCATGCACACAGCCCAGAAGCACTGCCAGACAAAACCCCTTAACCCACCCCAGCTGAACTCATCGTGATGAGGTCCTTCAGGAAAAAGCAAATCATTGATAGAAGGAGACAAAGCAGGACCTGATAGGGAAGGGAGATGACAGACCCTGGGAATGCATCCACAAGTTTGGCAGGGCTTCAGAGATTCCAGGAAGAAGTCAAGGATTAATAGGGATTTATGGCTCAGATAGTCTGCTGTGAGTTGGAGGACACCAAGGAGCATCCTTCTGCTCTGCAGGACCCCATGGGTTCAGTCTCGTTTGAGCTGGGGACAGCCTGAACCAGGGTGATGTTTCACTGTTTCACAGCAAAGAGGGCGCATTAAGCTTGACTCAGTACCCAATCAAGGCAGGAATATTTCTTTTTTTTTTTTTTCTTCCATTATCCTGTTAATAATTAAATAAGGAGAAAGCACCCTTAGCATCATGCCACGGGGATGCCACCACCCCCGCAACATCACTGCCTTGAGCGGGGCTGGAGGGGGACTTGCTACTCGGGAACGAGAGCTGGGCAGCATCCCGCTGGCATCTGCTGTGATGAATATACCAATAAACAGGTTCAGATCAATGAACCCGGTGGGTTCTACCAACAAATGAATGGCTTTCAGTGTATGGGTTAGAGAATCATTAACTACCCAACCCGCTCACTGTCATTCGTAAGCGATCTTTGCCGTGCATCTGCTCGCCCCACCATACCCACTGACCCATGTCCTGCTCCCTGGTCCTTGCAACCACCCAGAGCCCTTCTCCCCTCTATCCTGCTGCTCCGGTTGTGCTCATAAACAGTCTCTGGTGTCTCTATTGAGCCAGGCTGGATCTGAAGAGCAGGCAGGAAGAGGATTTCATTTCCCCATGTCTAAGCTGCTCCTGTAATCCTGCAATGAGGCTTGCTTTGAAGCTCTGGCCCGGCTCAGTGAAGCTGGCTTACAGCCACAATTACTTCCACTTGGAACACACACAAAAAAAGCCGAGCGAGAGGCCAAGGAGGGGATAGTTAGCCTCAAACACCATTGTGTCAATCAAACGCAGCCAGCACTAATTAGTCCCTGTGATGCCTCCTGTCACGGCTGCCCCATTACGCAGGGACAAGAAGTCTCTCCTTGGGTCAGCTGGGGCCACCCAGGAGCTGCTAGAGAGCCCAGAAGGCAGAAGAGGATTGGGGGTGTTCAAGGTCTGAGACTGCAGCCCCAAATTGCCACTTATGGAGCATCAATTCCATCAATCTCACTCCCTCCCACTGTCATCTCAGGTGCCCTCCTTCTTACCCTCTTCTGCAAGCATGGCCAGAGCAACTGCAGGAACCAAGGGGAAGAAGGAGGCCACCCCACCACAGCGTTATTTCCATTTTTCTTGCTTTTTCTAAAACAAGGGGAAAAAAGAGGCAGCCTACCAACAGTCCCAGTTGCCTGCTCACGAGAAGCAGGCATTAAGCAGGGAACCAAGAAGAAAGTGCAGCAGAAACACTGCAGTAATATGGGATAATAACCCTGTGAATTCTGTGAGGCGGCTGAATAGTGGTATTTTCTGCAGCAGCATGGTATTGTAGGAGAGAAACCAGTAACCAAATATTTTCATTCAGCACCAGGGGAAGGGGGAGGCACGGCTGTTCCCTGGGGAGCTGGAGAGCAGCTCCAGAGCAGGAAATTCATTAGAAGTAAGGGAGGGCAATTGCTTATGATTGTGGCACTGGCAGATACCAGCAAAGCCAGACTCAGCAATTGGTCCCAAGTGTGGTTCAGCTGTGGATTGCAGCAGAGCACCGCACTGCTAGTCTCTCCCACTCCCCAAAAACTGAATCACCAGGGTATCACACCCACCCTGCTGGGCCAGCTCCCATGACTTGGAGGAGACCCCGCATGGATAGGTTGGAAGCATCCACCAAAAGCTGCGTGGTCATCTTCCCTGCTGCCCTACAGCTCGTGCTTGCTATGGCAAGCATGCCCTAGCAGGGACCAGCTGTGAAACCCCAAGCTTGGGAAACTCCCATGCAGCTTGGGAGACTTGGCTTTAAGCATCTTGATGGAACAACTCAACCAATCACTCCTCATCTCCATTTCCCTCGTTTAAGAACTGGTATGAGCGTTCAGGTAGGGTCAGACAGGGTTGATATCCCATCTCCTCTTGCCACCAAGTGTCCCAGAAGAAGGAGCACATGGAAAGGTGGCAAAAAAGAAAAAAAAATAATCTGGAAGATATGGCAATTTTCACCTCTCTACACAGTGGCCCTTCAAGGCAGTTCCCATCCAAATGGGTCACCCAGAACTCGGAGGTTTTAAGTCTTTCTTAACCCACACGTTCCCGTGCGCTTATTCATAGTCTTCAAACCTGTATGAATGGCTAAGCCCTCTTAGAATCTGAATAAAGAGTTATTAATAACTCTGTATGGAGTACCATTAAAGTTAATTATTAATTAAAGCTGGACACTACAAGAGCCATGTCCTGGCTTTGAATAATACTTCCTGGCAAACCAATTGGCTTTAAGTATTGGTCAGTACACAATAGTCCCAACAAGAGTAATGAGGGTGAATACATCCCCAGTGCAATTGGGCAGGCACAGGTGATTTTTAGGTTGGAGATAAATGTGGTCGTTGGAGGCTGGATTACCAGCCGAGAGCTCAGGATCAATACTGGAACAAGAAGTTGTGTTGTTCCAAATCAAGGGAAGGTTAACCTGTAATCCAGAGCACAGCTAGGGGGTGAAGCCACTTTAACAAGAGGGATTTGTCTGCTCAGAGTGTCAACCTGAACAAGCTGGAGCCTACGTGGTGTAATTTAATGGTGTTTAACATCAAGACTGCCGTTCCTATAGCTACTGGAAGAAGCTTAGCAACCCCGAGCACAGCTCCTGGGACATGGGAGACAACAAAGGAGAGCGCAGGGCTGTGTCACCATCACCCATGTATTAAACCTTTGGACCCTACATGCCATACAGATGTGGAACTGAAAGTAACATCCCAAATAGGGTGTGTCTCCTGAAAACACGTGTATTTGCTGCTTTGTTAGTACCAGAGTAACAAGAATCTGCCTCTGTCACTGATCAAGGGCTATGGCAGGGTCTCCCCACCAGCTATGGCCTCCAACTCAGGGCTCATTTAGGCTTCACCAAAACCAGCAGGACTGTGCATGGGTCAAGTCAGCCCCACATGTCTCTGGATGACTTGGTCCAGAAGGACTTGCCTCTCTAAGGTGAGCACAGTTTCAGTGCTAACACCAACCATGCTCTTTTTCTTCTGTGTTCTCAGGTCCTCCCCATATTTGGCTGACCAAGGCTGGCTTAGCAGGCTCTTCACCCTCCCAAGAAAATGGGGACTGACAGTGAAAACCCAGTCCTGAGGAACTTGCTCATCAGCTTCAACTTACTTCTGCTGGGTGCCGTCCTCAAACCTTTTGAGTGTCATCTGGAGGTGACAACAGAGCCAGCTGAGAGGCCAGCGGTGGGTGAGGAGGGTGGCCTTGCCAACTGCAGCCCATCCATCAAAGAGCAGCCCATGGTCTTCCACCACATCTACAACATCAACATCCCCCTGGACAGTTGCTGCTCATCCATGTTCAAGTCTTCAGCCGAGGAGGTGAGTTCAGAAGACGACCGGCTGGCGGAGTATGCAGAGCAGACCTCTGACAGCGAGAGCCAGGTCACCTTCACCCACAAGATAAACTTGCCCAAGCAGGCCTGCAAGTGCTCCACCTCCTTCCCGTCCCTGCAGGAACTGCTGAGCAGGATTGAGATGCTGGAGAGGGAGGTCTCCATGCTCCGGGACCAATGCAACTCCAATTGCTGCCAAGAAAATGCAGCCACAGGTAGTAATGCCATCCTGTTAGCTCTTGCTGGGGACTGAGGGCTTGAGTGAAAGGCAGGAGAAATAAATACAAAGCTGGTGATGCCACTCAGAAAGGCGACAGAGGAAAACATATGTTCACCCATGGTGTGGTTGTGGCTTTAGGGAAAAGCCCGGCTTAGGTCTTCCAAGGCAGGAAAACCCCCAGGTGGTATTTGGTCACTTGAGTCCCATTGCCCTGCTCACTGCAGAAACCCTGTTATGGCCAGAGCTAAGGCCCCATTGCAGATAAAATTACCACTAATAAGGGGTGAGCAGAGTGATCTCCCAAGCCAGCAGTCCATCTGCCACTATGTGTGGGACAGGGAGGAGAGACACAGCTGCTGCTCTCTTAATCTGTGCCTGGACTGAAAGCAGCACCACGGGAGGTGGCAATAAAACCCTTCATCTTCTCTGTAGGAAGAGTGAATGTGTATGAAAAGCTGAGTTAAATTAAAAAAAAAAAAAAT